TTCAAGTTTAATTTGCCAAAGTATTTAGTCAATGTATTGATTAACAACACAAAGTGGTCGGTCCAAAGCCAGTAAATAGGTTAGTAAATGAAACCTGTATTCTGAACATAAGCTGTACTTCTGTCATATCCCATTTTGTCCTTTACTCTTGTTCTGCTATGTTATTCTCCTTTCACGGCCTCTGCTTTTTTCCTTCTGTATTCTGTGCTAATTATATCAGACTTGTCAAAACGTGATAGTTCTGAAATAGTGTAGCCAGAATTCCCATTTCATGGGATTTATTTGGGTTAGGAAAACAGTGAAGTTCAAAAATAAGATGTTTTATATAATGTGTGGGTCCTTGGTGATAGAATCTGACACACATCCTCAAGTGCAGAAACGTTTTCTTTCCACTGTGCCCCTCCTCCCCCCCCAAAGGGCTGTTAGTTATGCAGTCAGTGTATGCATCACGTTTGTCTCCATATTATTTCTATTATGTAGAAACTTTATGAAGCATTTTATACTGTTGAATTAGGCAATAAGAAATCTGACTTTAAAATATTTGTCTTTTGATCAGTTGCGGCCAAAATCCTTCTGTTTGGATTCTGAACTATGACATCATGGCAAGATTTCGCAGAAGAACATGCATCATTTTGTTGCTTTTTATTTTGTTTATTTGCTCCATAATGATGGCTTTGAAGACTCTGAGACCTGACAGAGCTGGCTTTGGGGATCCATTTGGACTTGGTTTGTTGCCAGAGCTTCAACAACAGCCAGTGCTCTTGGACAATAAACAGAATTTACCAAATAGGGTTCAAGGAGATACTGTAACACGTGTCAGTAATTTGCATAGTATCGCAGTCAATACTATGAAAGCATCTATGCCTCCTGTAAACAAGCTGGAAGAAGAGCTGTCTTCTCCTAATTATAACTTTCACATATTCTACTACAGTTGGTTTGGGAATCCACAGTTTGATGGTAAATATATTCACTGGAACCATCCGTTGTTGCCGCATTGGGATGCCAAAATTGCCAACAACTATCCAAAGGGAAGGCATAATCCTCCTGAGGACATTGGGGCCAACTTTTATCCTGAACTGGGATCTTACAGTTCCAAAGACCCTTCTGTCATAGAAGCCCACATGAAACAAATGCGTTCAGCTTCAACTGGTAATGAATGTTAACGTTTCAGCATGTTATTCATTTATCCAGCCTTAAATACGTGAATGGACACAACTGACCCCTTCTTCTGTTTTTCTGTGTCATTCTGGAAATGTCTGAAACTAGTAAATGTCTTTGCATTTCTGAGTTTTAATCCCCAACCAAAACCTACATCTTCAAAGCTGGGTCTGATGAGTGTAACAGCACAGAAACATAAGAACTGTATTTGTAATCCTGTAGGTGTACATACTTCATGACTTACTGTTAAGCACTGATGGCACATGTAGAAAAGACAGAAACCATTACTAGAATATGTTGTCTGGGTATTTTATTTTTGGAGATGAATACTTCAGTTTTAAGAACAGATTTCAGTAAATCATGTTAACATGGCTATGGAGCAGTCTGTTCAAGTAGGAGTGGGTTTTTTTTGTCTGAGTTCTTTGTGTGTAATAACACTTATGTATTAATCCATAAGTCAAAGAGCATGTAGGATTATAACTGTTATCCAATTTACATTTTATGCAGTGTATTTATAGATGTTATCATTAGCTATGGAAATGTTTAATCCAAACCTTCTTGAACTCGGGTACAATAGTTTCAGTGTAACCAATAGTTTCAGTGTAGCCAATTATAGTTTGTTTCTTTATCCAAAAGTATCTTTTTTCCAATACAAATTGATATTTCCTTTCTCTAAATAAGATGGACTATATATATAAGAATAGTCAATATATTTTCAGTGTCATTCATTGTTGTTGGGCTTTATGGTCCTTTTTATGTTCATCTTCTTTAAAATAAGCATTCGTATAGACTAATGTTAAACTCTGAACATGTAGAACTCTGTAAATGTAGTTGGAGCAACATGACCAGAGCTCATAGCATTGCTCAGTGCTAACCACCTTGAATTGAATCACTTTCATTCACCTGATCATTAAGATTTGATGTAATTGTTCTATTCCCATATGTTTACTTGTATAATGTTTTCTCCCGGTTTTAACCTAACCTGTATTTTGTACAAGCGTTAATACAATGTAGGAAATTTCTCACCCTTTTCAGTAATACGTAACTCCATTAACAGGAACACCAGCAACAGTGGGAAGGCTATTGCAGAGAAATCTCAGATATTAGTTGCCAGTAAGAACTTTTTTTAGTTTTATCTAAAGCAAATTAATGCATGAGTGTGATGAAAGCAGGGAGGGCACTTGTGGCTTTGGAAGAGTCTGTGATGTTTGTCATCCTCTTGATACAAATGTCTAGTAAGCTGAACTGCTGGTGGAAAAAGTGCCAAATACTAAGAAAAATGCTTTGCAAAATAAGTTTTTTAGTAGATTAAGTTAGTTTTCCATTTAAAACTCAGCAATGTGAATGAGTAGTTCATGCTTCCTGGGACATACTCTTTGTAACATATTACTGATGTTTGTCAAAAGTGTTTTTTCTTCTGTTGTTATTCTGACTTACGGATTTAAATACATTTGAATTTGTTCTCTTCTGTCTAGATTTGACCAACATAAATCGTAAACTTTTTTTCGTCTGGTCATTACTTCAAATATTACATTTTTTTAATCATAAAAATTATACTTTGTTTTCGGTGTACTGTGAGGTTGACTATTTACAATTTCTTATTTTTGTCTCTTAGCCAATGTCTAATCCATGACTACATTTTACATTCAGTCAAATAATAATTTTTCTTCTAGCCTTTTTTGAGATTTTATCAAGGATCTTATAAAAGGAGAAAAATGTAAGTGGTTCTTTCAGCCAATATTGTGTAATGATCAAAGGCATATAAGAGATTGGAGCAGCAGGGGTCTCATGCAGTGCTTCCGAGGATTCTCCTTATATTTTACAGTTCTTTCCTTATTTATTAATTTCCTAATTTTTAACAGATTAATACAATAGATTTTATTCCTCAGATTGCTTGGTGAAATTTATTTTTTTGCACCAGCCTATTTTTGTGGTAGTCCAGTTTGAAATCCTTCATTTATCTTGAATGACGTGGCTCTGGTGTTAAACACGTTTATGCTATTGGTTTTGGCATCGAGTCTACCCTTTTTTAAAGTGGCACATAACTTTATTTTTTAACCACAGGAAAGAAAATATTAAGTACTCTTTCTCAGAGAAAGACCAATGCAAATGTGAATTTAGGTTCTGCAATGAACAACTCTGTGTCCTGAACTTTTCCCTGTTTCCTAAAGGTATAGAAGAGGGTCTTGACAGATGTTGTATTCAAGATGCCTTGTATGTAACCTGAGTTTGTTGCTGCGGTCCTACTTGTCCTTTACATCTTACTAATTTCAATTTTGTCCTTTTGTGTGAAATAAAAGATAGAGTGATGAAACGCAGTAAAATACTGCATTTTTCTTGTCCTTTAGCAGACTCTCTCTTGTGATAGTTAACCTATTATTTATGATTCTCTTTTTGATAAAATGTGGAGAGAATATGCTGAGAGTGGTTGAACTAACTTCTGCTATGTATAGTGAGCTCAAGCCTCTTGTTTTGATGTTAGAAGATGATTGTGTATTCACTCTAATTTATGCCTTGTTTTTCATAATTTTGGACTTGTTCGTTTGGAAATTGTTAGTCAGAAATGTTATTATGTTAGTAAAATAGATGGAACTTAGAGTATATACTTCCCTATTTCAGTGACCTGATTTATGTACTTAAATCTTTACCTAGCTAAAAAGAATCACGTTGGCTTATTCTTCCATATGTTTTAAATAGTATTATTAGGAAGATATTCCTACATCAATATTTCATGTATTTCTTTCTGTCTTACCATATTCCTGGTATTATTTCCAGCTACACACCTAAAAGGTCTACCTCATTTATCTGACAGCATTTTATTTTAGAAGGAAAAGGTTTAGCCTTTCTGAAGAGGTATGTGTTGTTTTGCTTTCATGGAGATCATGAGGCAAATTTACAGTATAGGGACATTGCCATCTTTTTTTGACAGGAATAGTAACATCCTTAAATTATTGAGAGTTACTCTAGGATTTTTTTAGGTAATAAATTTAAAAACTAATTTCACGTGGTTGAAAGGGTGGATTAAACCGTAGGAACTGCTTTTAGCAAAAAGGAAGGTTGTGGGATTATAGTCACTGCTTCTGGTATGAAATGATTGTTTTGTAGTAGCGCCAGAGGTACAATGCAGAAATATGGTGAAGAATAAAGTTTCATAAAATAAGAATCTCTTTCACCACATGCATAGCCTTCATCTCTTGAGTGTTCTCTAACCCCATGTATCTTGATATTCTCTGACCGTACTACGGCATAGCTATAATGCCTTCATTGGGAGCATTCTCCTCCTCTTGGTGCAACCTGGAGGTTGGGACACTGTGCTGAAAAGTGGGAGGGAATGGCTCTAAGCTAGGCTTGGGACACTGAGCACTGTTCCCTTGACAGATGATCTCACCACTGTTTGCTTTGTGGTCCTTTAAACAAAGAGCAAAGTTAAAATTCACTCTGAGAGTCCTGAGATTTCGTAATTGATTAAAAAGTAATTTGAAATTCTCATGTAGATTTCACATCAAACGATAATTGTAACTCTTGACAATGTTATAGCATACATGTTAAGTTTTAAATCATGTTGTTTAACGTATAAGTTTTGCATTTTCAGGTGTATTAGTGCTCTCATGGTACCCACCAGGTATGGCTGATGAAAATGGAGAACCAACTGATGATTTGGTGCCTGTTATTTTGGATTATGCACACAAATATAATCTAAAGGTAAAGTATTTTTAAGATGCATGAAAAAGGACTACTCTAGGAAAGTAAACCTTGCTAAGATTTTACTGTATTTGAGTCATGATGTAGAGCAGGGAGGCTTGTGATGTAATGGTGGTTCGTGTTTCTGTCTCCTATTACACTGCACTTCTTTTGGGTCATAGAAGCAGGTATAAGTGCCCTTTGAATTATATGGAATTTTTATAAGACCTAAGCAATATTGTCTTACAACTAGAATAAATTCTATAATCTGCCTTTTTTTCTGTTTTGGTTCAGATCTAAAGCTTACAGAATCTAAGGTGTGGTGGTGTGGAATTTTTTTTTCTTTTTATGAAACAATTTTTAAAATTGGACAATATGTTGTTTTCAAATGAGTCTTGAGAGTTGAGGGAAGTACTACATTTCTAAATATTATGGAATACAATGATCTATAAACTAAGGAACTTTGAGAAAGAGGGAAGACTCACCTAATTTTTTGTATTACGGCATAACTTGCTGGCACCTGATCATAGAGGTCAGGAGCAACCATCTATGAATAATAAAGAGGGATTTAGAAGTTCTAGTTTGAATGAGTGTGTTTATTCCAAAAGTTAACAGGAACACTTGCCTTGGACAGTAAGGTCACAGAAGTGCTGCTCTGACTTTAGGTTACTCCAGGGCATGACAAGATAGAAAGGCTAAACTACTGGCTTCCTGAAATAGGTGAAATGTCAAATCAATTAAAGATTATGTGGATTGATCAGTAGAATGTAAAATCGTGCCTTGATTTTGTTCATTTTTAGAGTAAAACTTGTATTTTCTCTTGGATAAAGAGAACACGCATTGCCTTTTAGTTTGCCTGGTAGTAAATTGGGTTTTTTTTAAATTACGTAAGTAGCTGTATATGTTTCATTTCTGGACGATGTTGTCTGTACTGGGGACTAAAAATACAACCTGTTCATCTGCTCAGGTCATGCAAGTTGCAGATTCTCAGATAAATTTCCTGTCACTAGTAGCAACTGTAGATTCTTTGACAAGGAGGAGGAAAGTAGGAAGGTTGAATCGGATACAGAAGTAGTTTTGAAACTGTTAAAAATGCTGTGTGAATTGCATTATGTGACATAAGTTACACATATGTAATAGTAAATTATTAAAAGGAAAAAGAAAAGAGATTATCCTTCCCCAAAATTTTCAAATCATCTGATGGAGCTTGCTCTCACCTAAAAGAACTTGTTAACATTCTAGTCTTTCAAAGGAGCCAAGGCAAAATGAAATAAGCTACCAAGGAAAATGCATGTAATAGTATGGGATTGATTGGAATATGGATGGAACTGCTGTTACTGCTTGGAATAATCACTGGAATAAAGTAATTAAGTATAAATACTACCAGGGAGTCCTACCTTCACTGTAATGTTTTTAAACATTCTTACACTAGTAAGTTATTACAGTTCAGTGTCAGAAATGTCAGTAGACCAAAACCAACATACAAAATACACTTCCTTTATGTCTGTTAAATACAAGTCTGCTGAAAGATACGTCCTTGTGATTTGTCTGGTTTTGATAGTTGGAAATGAAATATGAAATTGTAGTGCTCTTCAACGTATCCTGTCAGTCCTAGTGATTTAGTCTAACACTGTATTTTTCTGTAGTTTGCACCTAATAGAGATCGATATTGGCTCTACAATGGAAATTTGCTACTGTTGCAGAGTTGTTGAAGACTTTATTAAGTGCATTCTGCTCTAAGATTGCTTCTGAAAAACTAGTTGCTTTGATTAATGTAATATACTCTCCCATTTAATTGTATATTTGAAAACATTTTTCCATTGAAATAACTTCACTAGTATAGGTTAAATAATTCCAGAAGCTCCAAGCTTGAAATTCAGAGCAGTAGCAGTACATTAGATTAGATTTTGTTCCAAGAGTTTATTGCTGTTGATAAATCTATAACATTTTAAATGTAAGTTTTCATATCCCATATCTTAAAATCTATTTTGACACTGAAATCTCTCATTGGAGAATTATCTATAGCAAATGTAATACCTTGTGTAGAAATTAAGTATTAAAATGTTTCATTGGTTAATGAGTTCTTTGATATTCAAACAGATAATATTTTATTTCAATTTTTAGTTTCTGCTGTAGGGTTTTTTAAGTTTTCTGAAGCATGCTTACTGCTCACTGTAACCTAGGGAAAATAAAAGCAGTGTTTTGTTTTAATGTAAACATCTAAATATTTACTCTGTTACCAAACTTCCTTGGACCTGAAGCTTCTAATCGTAGCAGTACAGGAGTTGAATTAGGGTTGTATTATTCTCAAAATAAATTAACAAAAATATTTGCTCTGTGAAGAAGAACTATATTTAATGTGACTGGTACGTGTTTCATATAATACGCAGTGCCCATGTATTTTATGTTTATGTTGCTCTTGCTACATTTTCATCTTTCAGGTCACTTTTCATATTGAACCTTACAAAGATAGAGATGATCGCAGTATGTACCACAATGTGAAATACATCATTGACAAGTGAGTGCTTTCAGAATAGTTTCCTTTGGGGTTTGTTACATGCTAGTTTAGGGGACTTCTGTGTATTATCTAATGCTTGGAAGAATATTTAAAAATGTGTACTGAGACTGAAGAAAACTATGGGAAACTTTGTTCATATTTCAGTAGTACAAAACTCAGTCTTTTTTTTTTAAATATTGAAGTGTGAATTTTGCGTGGCTACTGAAATGTAAATTGCATTCAACTTGCATTAATATCACAAGTCGTGATAGTTCAGATTAAAGCAGTTAAAGTATTAGCTACATGATATATGCATTAAACGTACATCTTTACAGTGGCAAACTAGCAGCTAGAGCTTTAATGTGTTGGCATCTAATGATTTTAATTCAGCTTGACAGATTCTGTACAGCTACTAGTTTTTTTATTTATCAATGCTACATAGACTGTCTTATTTCATACTGAATTAGGGAATTGCCCTTCAGAGAAAGCTAATACCTGTAGACCAGTTCAACACTAAGTTACTAATTTGTAGTAATTTAATGGTTCTTTGCAGATTCATTGTCTAATACTTCAGCAAACACTGGACTGAAAATGGATATAAATTGCTATGTTTTGGAGCACATGTGCTGTCTTTTAAAATTAGTTTTTAGGAAAAGAATCTTCAGCTCAGATTGTAAAACAGTATTTTCCAAATGGCAAATTTTGTCTTAACGATACTTGTTTGCTTTATAGATACGGAGGCCATCCAGCCTTTTACAGGCATAAGACCAGCACAGGCAGATTTCTTCCCATGTTTTATGTTTATGATTCTTACGTAACAATTCCAGAAATATGGGCAAATCTGTTAACTGTTTCTGGATCACAGACTATTCGAAATACTCCATATGATGCATTATTCATTGCACTTCTTGTAGAAGAAAGACATAAGCATGACATTCACAGAAGCGGCTTTGATGGAATGTACACGTACTTTGCCACCAATGGCTTCTCCTATGGCTCATCTCATCATAATTGGGCAAGTTTAAAAGCCTTTTGTGACAGTAACAACTTAATGTTTATTCCAAGTGTGGGGCCAGGGTATATCGATACCAGTATCCGACCATGGAACAACCACAACACCCGTAATCGTGTCAATGGGAAGTACTATGAGACTGCCTTCAGTGCAGCCCTTTTGGTGCGACCAGAAATTATTTCTATTACGTCTTTTAATGAATGGCATGAGGGAACACAAATTGAAAAAGCTGTCCCCAAACGGACTGGACAGGTGGTTTACCTTGATTATAAGCCTCATAAACCAAATATTTACCTGGAGCTTACTCAGAAGTGGTCTGAGAAGTACAGAAAAGAACAAGAACAGTGGCTTATGTGAGCTGTTGCGGCTCAAGGTGTTTCCTAACACATTGACTACATTGAGAAAGAAATAGCTGAAAAATTTGTTATTAAATGTCTTTATTATAGATATGTTCAAATTATTATATCTCTTGAATGTATACGCACTACTACTGAATTTGAATTTTGAGAAGTAAAAGGATCATGAGGATAATGGCATTTCTATCTTATTGGATATTGTAGTTCAAGAATATTCAGGGAAATTGCTGGGGTTTTGTTTGGTTTTGTTTTTTTAAAACTTGTTAACTTGCATGCTGAGCTTCCAGAACATCTGCATGGGATAACTCTACATGACCAAAGTAGAACAACAATTTGGCATAGTTATACTTACTTCCTTTATTCTTGTAGTTGTGCTTCTAATCAAAGTGATGCTGTAATCTAAATTTTTATCCTGATAACTTCTTGCAGGATGCATGTCTGTAGTGTGTGGAATAATCTACATCTACTGTTTTTAATGCTTTGCACACAGGGATTTCTTGATATATGACTAGCTTGTGGTAAAAACACTGAAGGGCTATGTGTGATGCAATGCTAGTGGTTTTGGGGTTTTGTTTAAAAAAAAAAAAAAGTATTTGAAAGATTGAGTTCCAAAGAACTGCTGAAAGATTTCTAGTTTACTTCCATTTGTTCTGTTCAGTACATAGTACAGACTTTTGCAGATTACTGGAGAGTGACCAGTAACATAGTTTTTACTATGTTACTTTGAATTTAAAAAAGTGCAAAAGATTTTTTTGAGGGGGAAAAACCCCTGAACATGAAAAATCTATACTAAAACTTCCATTGTTATATGTTGTCTGCTAATTGACTGCAGACATAGCTCTAGTGTGGTTTTTAAAATGTTTAAAGATTCTGAAGCTAATATCTTACTAGTCCTACAATAAATATAATCTTAGGAAATGCTTTTTTATTTCTGATTTAGGAACAGTCTAGTTTGGTAGCAATGACAGCAACTACCCATTAGTTTAATCTGAAATCTGAGATTTCTATTTTTCATGTAGTTCATCTAGTTGTTCCAGGATTCAGAATCAGAGCTACTAAAATCTTGTTATCGTTCACATAAACTCCCTACCAACACTACCTTTAATACTGTGGTGTGGCTGGAAATGAGTACTTTCAGACCCAAGAATCTCACCTTTTAAATGTTGCGATTATTAACTTTTTCTTAATGAAGGTTGAAAGGATCAAGTCCCATGGACATGCCTTTTCTGTAATCCTTTTTTGGCATTTTCATACAACTTCATAGAAAAGTCCTGAACTTTGGAATAGTAGAAATTGCAGTGTTTTGTTTTGCCTTTTTTTTTTTTCTTCAGCAAGTGGTTAATCTGTAGCAAAGTGGCTTTTTTTAGTTGGGTTTTTTTTATTTGCATACAAGGTGCTGATTCTGTGTTTTAGTCCATATGGTGAAACTGTTGTGACCACTAGAATTCCATTGATTTCAGCAGGCCCAATGGAAATTACACTCTTTACTGGGTTCTCACAGTAATCTGTCTAGGAATTTGTAAGGTGAATGTGAGGACTTCTGGTTAAAAAAGAAAACAAACCAAGACAGTATGCTTTTTCCAGAAACCTTTCTCATTCCAAATAAACATAAGCCAGTTACTACTAATATTTTCTAGAGTCTTTCTGATATGAAAAAGATTTGTTTATGTATCTTTCACTTATTTACAGTTTAATTCTCTTGTCATTTTTATGCAGTTGTTAAAGAGATGAGGTGTCATATAATGCCTTCAACTGCTTTACAAAAATGCAGAAATTGGGTGACATATATAATCTAGCGTGTTGAAGTGCGCCTCTAGAGTTACTGGAGTCTTAATATATCTTCATAATTTTTTGCATTTTCCTACTGCATTTCTGCAAACTCCAAAGCACTTCTGAAAGAAATGTTTACTAATGCTTATTTTATTTTACTTCTGCTCAGGTAAATAAACTGAAGTAGATACAGGTATGACCACAGTCACAAAATAATGTCTGAGACATATGAAGCACTTGCTAGACTTTTACCACTTCCAAGTTAACCACTCACTCTCTTTATTAAGGACACTGATTTATATGTTTTTATTATAAATCCCTTAACTGCAGATCATTTGTTTTTGTAATTTGTTATGTGTTTATGCTTTTACAGCCCAAAGAACCCATATATTTATTTTAAATGTGAGGGAATTATTAAATTTTTGCATATCAATATTGCATATATTATTAAAAAAAAATCTACTGGAATCAAATGTTTTGAAAGGACAAGTCTCTTGTTTCCCTTTGCTTAAACTTTTGTTATCCACCAGTCTTTTCTCCCTGCAGTTGTCTGAGCACTTTACTAGTCTTGACAGCCTTGCACTCGGCTTTGAGCTCCTTACTTTCTCCCGGTGGCAGTTTGTTTTCTCCATGACTATAAAAGTTGCTCCTTTTGTTGCTGTTTGTAGAAACGTTTGAAATTTTGTTGTATTGTATAACTGATCTATCTTGTTTAAAATATAATTTATGGTTACAATGTAATGGATCTTCATTACTCTGGAAGTGTTGTGTAATTGCTATAAAGGTATCATTTAACCCTTGCGGTAGAGTGGTATGGGCTGTGCACACTGCTGTCTAATGGGATCTTTAGAGGAATTTACAGAACTTCTGTAGAAAATAATGAAAAATAAGTGCCTAGAAATTCATCACCCCTGAGAACTTGCTGTATTTTTATGTGCTTGATGTGTTTTAATATATAAATATGCAACCGAGAAAATATTTCAGAGTTTAGAGTTTAATTTGATGATCCTAAGGAGAGTTGATGGAATAGCAGCTACTAGAACTACCCCACCTGCCTGCCCAATACTTTCTCTGTACTTAAAGCAAATATTAGTGATACTATGTGTTACAGAGAATGGAGAGTTTTGCTGGTGGACTGCTGCTGCAGTCATGATAGTTTTTGGAAATTTGAGTAAAAATAGGTCTGCGGGGAAGAATTTGTACAAATGCAAAGGAACAAGATTGGAATGAGGGAGAGAGGAAGGTAAGTGCATTTAGAAGAAGGTGATTGCTCCAATCTTTACAGTTACGTTGAAAAAAAAAAAAAGACAGACTCTCATGTACAACCAAAAGTGGGAGGGAGGGAAGAATATTTATTACGAGTTTCAGATCTGAACTGCAATTTAAAGAATATCCAGATCCTATTTCACTTTGGCTTCACACCCCTATTATTTCTTGACTAATTGAAAAAAAAAAATACATTGTAATGATTACTTTTAATGTTTTTACACTGCTTAATTGCATTTGACTCATCTTGTTACAGTAAGTTATAGTACTTAGCGCGATATGCTACATTTATATAGATTAAGCAAGAAACACTATGGGAAGTTTTAATAGAGATCATGCCATGCTATGCCTCTGCAAATGTAGAAATACCTGAAGTTATCGATCACATACTACTGTCTGAGTATCCCCAGAGGAGAAATGGTTTCTGAAGCAAATAGCAAGTCTTTGCGGTAAAAGAGAAGTTCTTTTTAAAAGAAAATCTATAGGTTCATTTCTGCTTCTGTCAGTTGTGATCAAGTAAATTGTTTCAGTTCTGTGAGCTATCTCGGAACTGAAGCTTAATACATCTTCTCTGAAATAAGAGTCCATATTAAATCTTGTATAGTAGTGCATGTTTCTTGGATCTATAAACTTGTACTGAATTTTGAGGGAAAGAACACATGCATATGCTGTTACTATTTCAGTGGCAAGCTGTAGTTTATTGTGAATGTAGTCTGTACTGATGTTCATCGTGTTTGTCTAGTGCCTTTCTTTTGAGGTACCAATTTGTCTCTTAAGAGGTTGTTGAAGCAGAAGGGTCTAATTTTTATTGTGAAACTTAATATCTATACAGTCTGCATAGTTTGAATTAACATGTTTTACACATGGCTCTTTGGTTCTCTTGAAAACATTTCACACAAGTGTTTTCAGCACTTTTTTGCTAGTAGGAGAATGTATCTCTGGGCACATGGACGAGGTCGTACTGTAATTTAAGGCACTTTTTTTGTGAATCTTACATACCTAAAAAGAGGAAATTAAGTATTTACAGACAAATTATTTACCACTTAATGTAAGCTGAAAATATCTCTCCCAGTCTTAAGGTATTTTAAAACTACTGATCCTCATCTTTCTACTTGCTTAAGATAGTGTCAATATTTCCATTCCTTTTTTTGTTTTTCACTTTTGACCAGCATGTTAAATGTTGCATAAACTTCTAAAGTGATTGTATTTCTAAGACTTCGTAGTTGTGATATTCAGTAAAGAGAATCTGCAGGATCATTGGCACTGCAGAAAAGCCTGATACAACATCAAATTTGTATAGGTATGATTTTGTTGTGAATGGATAGTGTATCTTTGCTATGTATTGAACATAAATAACAAAAATACATTTCTTTTAATACCCTACCTGGCTATGGCAGAGATGCATTTGCTTACATGCATATATAAAAACAAGTGTGTGTGTGTATTTATATATGTTATATATGTGCATATAACTGAAGTAATTATTTTTAAAGTACTATATCATTGTATTAAAATTACAGGCTGGATTCTGCTACTTTTAAGTAAGCAATGTTTTTAATTCCCTATGATGTTTACAAAAAAACTAGTTGCTTATGTATGAATACTTCCATGAACAATAAATATATACCCAAAAGTGTGATTTAAATGGAGTGTGTGATAATATTTTTTTAATAATGTGAGTCTAGAAAGTGAATTTTTTACTTTTCTGTTACAATATGTGTGTAGAATTTAATTAGACTGAAAACAACAGGCTGATCACAATGTTTTTAAAGAGACAATACTCCTGAAGTTTTTAGGCCTATTTGTATTACGTCTTATTAGGCTACAAAGTCAAGGAAGAAGGTAGTTATGTTATCATACAGTGTGATGATCTTATTGAAAGTGATGAGAATTCTTTTCTGTGTATTCCATTATTGCTACTATTCAAAACTGGCTTAGCACATTCCAAAATGGGAACTTTTTAAA